AGGAATCGTGGGAATGGGTGGGTGGTGGTTCGGGTGAGAAAGATGAGACGGACGAAATGAAGACAGAAGAGAGTGAAAGATTATCTGTGGAATATTACTGCCTCAGCATTTGCCTAAGTGATCCAAGGAAACCACAGAAAAACTTGGACCAAGGCAGACGGACCCGGAATCGAACCCGCGTCCTCCCGAATGCTAAGCAATGGTCTAGACTTCTAGGCCATGCCGCTCGGTATCTTTTTCGACCCTTAAATATACTTATAAGTCGTTTCCTAACTGGGCGTAACGAGCATTGTTTGGGGGTGCAAAACGGTTCCGCTAGCAACAAGGTTATTACCCTTATCCAGGTACTTCTATAAATATTTTGGAAAAATAAAATTTGGAAACTACACCAATAACTATGAAACGTGACTGACAAAAGATACAAAATTTTACAACAGACGGTACTTCACAAATAAATAATATTGTATTGAATAGCAGTTTAAACATCATAAACAAAATGCCTTTCTCACGCCGGCTATAGAATTTAAATTTATACGAAAATATCTACGAATAATAAAATAATACAATATTTATTGCATGAGATGCAACAAATAGAATAGGAGAACAGAGGACTCTATGGAAGTCAATAAGGAATAGGCGAGATAGGTTGGTTGGACACCTTCTCAGACATGAAGGTCTAGTCAGAGGTGTATTAGAGGCAGAAACGGAAGTTAGGAAGGGTAGAGGTAGACCTAGATTAGATTATTGTTCGCAAATAATTAAGTATGTGAGTTGTTCTAGTTTTGGGAAAATGCGAAAATTAGCTCAGGATAGGAAACAGTGGAGGTGCGTGTCCAACCAGTCAGGAGTGACGACCTTATGATGATAATAATAAATACATCTTGCGCCCTCGTTCTCGCGATAATTGATGAGAGGCCAGCAGTAAGAAGAATGCAATAAAATGAGAACCAACCTAGTATGTTTGTGCATCAGGAGCAATTAGGGGCTTTTTAGGTGCTAATTTGGCGACTGAAATTGGAGGCTTATTAACTGCACTAGTATATTTATGAAAATCAAATCCTCAAGTAACACTTTTAGGAAATAATGAAGCTCTTTCAGCTAGTATACATTGGTGTTCACCCAGATGTAAAATGGTGCATATGGATACAAATGGATACATATCTAGATAGGGCAAAATGTTTACCAAACACAGAAATTACACATTTCTAACGGAAAATGTCACTTGCTTATCTCTAAATACTGTCCTGAACTAACCGAACTCCAAAAAACTCTTAAGAAAAAAATTCAATACGAAAAATGATACGTTCCTTTATCTTCACAGGAACAGACATTCCGAAAATTCACAATAATGCTTAAGGTGAAGCAAATGTTATTATACAAAGGGCTGCTCGATATGTATTTCTTTCAAGAAAAATCCCTGTATATTTTCAAGTATTTGAGATTCCCTCTTTCTTTGACTTTAAAAATCTACAATTGTCATATGTTTAGATAAATAAAAAACGAGGTAGATATTAGATTAAATTATGTCATGACTTTTTTTTGTAAAAACAGAAGCTTGCAATTGTATGGATACTTAAACGAAATTGTTTGCAAGCTACAAAAATTCATATAAATAATTAGTTACATGGTTTGTGAATTGAGAAGGATTTGAACAGTGAAGTAAGATATTCTTTGATGAAAAAGTTTGATATTTGTACAATACATATTTAGAAAACAATCGAATGTTCTTCTGATAGCAGTTAGGGTCGTACGTTTCTTTTCACAGAAGAAAGGGGGAATTTCAAATACCTGCAAATATACAAGATGTTTCATTAAAAAAATATATTTCTAGTATAAAATATATTTCCAGGATTCCCATGTATACCAACAGGTATATGAAATTGTAGCTGCTTATTTAAAATCACCACAGAAGGAATAACATGAACCATTATTTTGAATTTTCAAAATGCCACTTTTCATAAAGATGAAGGGATGTGTGAAATAAGAAAATTCACCCTGTACAATGTATATATGTGGTTTTCGTATTATTTAGTAGCTTAGTATTTAGAAACTATCGTCATTGTTTCCATATGTAATGTATAATAAAATACATAAACACACTCATAACTTTAAGAAGGAAATAATGATACAGTGATATATTTAAACATATCCTTTATTTCATGCAAGTTTCAGTTATAATATTAGGGATCTAAATTTCTAATCAATATTCAGATATTTAAACAACAACATGTTCGCCGGTTGGATAATGATGAAAATCTTCGTGGGCATAATGATGGTAAGGTGGAGTCAATTGAAATGAGTTTTGGTAGTGGACTCCACTTCCAACAGGGTATCCAGGTATCGTAGATTGGTACTGGTAATGATGCTGTTGGTAGAATGGGAAAGCCTTTTGAAGATGGAATGAGAATCCATAACCTGGATTGTGTCCAACACCTTGGCCGTATCCAACACCTTGGTGTTGGTGGACAGTATGGATTTCTTGGTTCAGGATGTCGACTTGGTGTTGCAACTGGACTATGTGGGACTGATGCTCACTGGGAATCGGCTGGTCTTCTTGGACATATGTTTGAATGTTCACTTGGAGTTGTTGGACTTCATTTATGTACCCTGCAACGACCTGCATGTATTCTTGCCATTGAGAAGGTTCATATACGTGTTGGTTTTCTTCAAGGTGCTGTTGAATATGATGAAGGTGTTGTTCAATCTGGTGGAGTAGCTGGAGTGCTTCAACAGGAGTTGAAATGTATTGGTGGGCAAGTTGACTTTGATGGTGTACACCAATCCATGGGTACACGGTGTTTGGATATTGATGATGATACCCAAGTCCCTGGTCGTAACTCGTGGGGTAGTAAGAGTGACTTTGGCCAGTCATATAGGGGTGCGAGTGCGAACCGATCATCGCCAAAGGTGCAGCACAGGCACATGCCAAAAGTGAGAAAAGAATAACCGACTTCATTGTTTGTTTTGGCGTAGGTTCACAATGTAAACTTAAACTGTGAATTAACCTGAACATTTTTCTGCTTTTATACTAAAAACGACCTGGTGATAAATTCAATAATTAATTATCGGTGACCTATTGCATCTCACTGGTTAATAACGTGGTAAATACTTAAAAACAGTAATTTCGAAATATGTTATTGTTTCAATAATGCAGCTAATTAAAAAAAAAAAGATTTATGTATACTGGGTGTATCAGAGCTAGGTCACATTTGCATTCAAGGTGAATGGTTTAGATCAGATACTGGATTCTAAGGAATAATAAGTAGTATATTTAATAATTGTATTTTGAGGGCCTAAAGATGATGCATCTCCCACCTAGAGGGCTTCTTATCTTTCTCACCTACAGTTATGTAAAAGAAAAAGGTAGCTTTCAAACGTTGAGTTTGCATTTCTCACTATTTTGGGGATAAATCATTGTTGATTGGGAAAGAAAGCGAAGCTTTTAAAAGCAAGTTTAACTCGTACATGTCATTAGAATGCACCTATATCTGAAATGTATAGATATGCGATCAATTATTCAACCAAATTGAAAATTTAGTGGTTATAATATATTTTATTAGACTATATATGCATATGGAGTCTATTTAGTGCTAACAATTATCTAACAATTGTTAGTAAATCCGGCTCGAAGGACCAAAACTTTGTGCAGTCGTAAGATAAAAAATTATCCGGAGACCAATCGGAAGTTGCGTTTCTACTAGAATGTTATTAAAATAAAACTAGTAGCGAATTTGATTGATGTGTTTAATGAGAAGGTTTCTTACATACTAACTAACAAAATTAAATTTAGTTAAAACTAGAGAACAACTAACAAAGGGGGTGGAGTCTAAATGAAAGATATTCTAGTGGTGGATAAATGTAGGAATTTCCTGAATGTCGTCATAGACGAGAGGGTGTTGACTTCAACTAGATACAGAAAAGTTCTGAAAACAAGTATACAAGAGCTAACAATGGGCCAGGTATTAGTGACAGAAAAATCTCATTTATACTACCAGGAATGATTGAATGATGAAATTATTCACAAATATTATAAAACCAAATAATAATGGAAAGGAATTTACGACCTAAAATGTTTGAAGAAATGTTTGAAGTTGAACTGAACAAAGAAATTTGAAATGTAAATAAAGTAAATAATAACCCTAGATCAAATTAAATGGAAAAGTTTTTGAATAAAAATAATTGTAAAAATACAGATAATTGTTAGCACTAAACACAGCCAATTATACATCCGAATGTATATATTTAAACCCGTCTACTTTTTTCTAATCGTTTAATATTAGCTCGGGTACGTCAAATTTGGCAACTTTCTGATTAAACGACACACCCTGGATAGCAAAAGTTGAACTTAAGCACAATGTAATCTTTTAGTTGAACGTTTTGATAGTCAACTAGTTCTGGAATATTATTATAAGAGATGGTCGCAACGGTTATGAATACAGGCCAAAACCACGTTTTTGATAATATTTTTAAATCGTTTAAGATGGTCGAATGAAGTTTTACAAAATCCTAGATTTTGAGAATGTAAATCGATTACCATTACGGTATTTGACGAATCATTTGCCTTTTTCCTACAATTTTTAATACAAAAGTAGAAATCTGTGAGAGTTTATATTTTAATTGTAATTTTGATGATTCCGCTTAACTACTTTATGAAAGTTTAAGTTCATTTTGAAAATAATTACATAGGTAACAATAAGCCAATTACAAGGGTATCTTCAAGAAAAGTAATGATACATAGGTTTCATAACATTCCGCCGAAGTTATGCAAGAAACTTTGAACATTTTAATAAATGTTTATGCTCAAGTAGGTACTACGAAAAGTAGTGCTAGCACGGGTGAATTACGACCTTAAATATTTCAGTGAGGAACAATTTAAATAGCTCTAACTATCTCTTATTTATTGTTGTATTTCTTCATGGGTTCTACATACAGTGGTGGTTTTATGATGAATTAAAGCGGGCGTTCTGCAAATGTTTGCTTATTAATTTTTTAAAGATTGATCCAGTGCTACGATCCATTATAGAAATAAACTTCGTTATCATCATCATAAGGTCGTCAGTCCTAAGATCGTTTTCTCTATTGTTACTCGTAAAACTAGAATGATTTCCCGCGTTCCTCTATTTTTTCAAACCCAAATTGATTTTCCCCTAATAGTTCTTCCGCCCTTCTTTCTATCCTTCTTTCTCTGTCCAACTGTAGTTAAGATTTCTATCTGTGCTTTTCTTTTAGGTATGGTTACTGCCACGTTCCGTTTATAATCCTTTGGGACTTTCTCGTAAATAAACTATAAAACATACGATGTCTAACCTCTTGTCCTGCATGTTTTAGAATTTCCCCCTGTATCCCATCTACACCTGGCGCCTTATTATTCTTTAAGTTTTTCAATGTTACATCGAACTCCTCTCACATTATGGTGATAACCCAGCTCATCTATCTCCATACTATCTTCCTTCTCCTAACTCATAGCCTGCGTATTAGGTTCTCTAAATACTTTGTACCTGTCTGCATCTGTCTCATTTTCTATCAGAACGACCCCTACCTCGTTTTTTATATAATTACTACAGTACCTACCCTTTTCTAAAATTCTTTTTAATTGTATTAAAAGCCTCATCCGTTTTACCTACTTTAAAATTTTCTTCTACTTCCTTACACCTCATATCAATCCACTGTTCCTTAGCTACCCTACACTTCCTAATTATTTCTCACTTTATCGCCTTATATCTTTTTTGCCTTTCTTCTTGGCAGTAATAGGCCACTTTACATAAGCGTCGGGTATGGGGAAGATACACTAAATTATCACATTGATAAATTTTAGGAACTGGGTCGTACAAGTATATAGAAGTATCTTATTTTACTGTCAGTTCTGCAGCTTTGTAGCACCACCCGCTCCTACATTTCCAGTAGTATCGACGTAAAGACACAAATTAGCTAGGATATTTATTAAACTGAGTAGTATACCGGTCTAGATCCCAGTTTATCATGTGGAATGACAGGACCCAAGCTTTCCTACGGTTTTCATGGGTCAATTGGACAATATGCTGCGGCAGTAATATTACCCAGATAATTTTTCCCCCTTCACTTCTGCCTTGAGTTCGTTCGTCTTATCTGTATTTCCCCAACCGCAAAACACCCACCCATCCCCACAATTTTCTGAAAGAAGGCTAAAGCTGATCTTCCGCAAGGACGTCCAGCTCCCCAACGTTAGTAGGTGGTTAATCTTTCTTTGACTTTAAAGATCAACAATTGTCATATGTTCAGATAAATGTAAGACGAAGTAGATATTAAATTATGTCATGACTTTTTTGTGTTGTAAAAACAGAAGCTAGCAATTGGATGGACATTTAAACGAAATTGTTTGAAAGCTAACGTAGTTCATACAAACAATTAGTTACGTCGTTTTAATTGTGAATTGAGAAGGATTTGAATAGTAAAGTAAGATATTTGTACAATGCATATTAAGAATGACAGGATCAAAGTTTTCCTATGGTTTTCATGGATCATTTGGATAAAATGCTGCGGCAGTAATATTCTCCAGTAATCTTTCCCCCTTCACTACTGTCTTGAGTTCGTTCATCTCATCTGTATTTCCCCAACCGCAAAACACCCACCCATCCCCACAATTCCTAAAAGAAAGCTAAAGCTGACCTTCCGCAGGGACTTCCAGTAGGTAGTTAATTGAAACATGCAAAAATTTTTTCTTTGCGTTTTTGTATAATTTGTAGTGAAGCCATCTGGTTAACAAAGCAATTGCTTAGATGATATTATTTATGGAAATTAGACCACATTAACCAGAGTCACCTCCTCGTAGCTTACTGGTAGAGTACCGTTGCATAAAATCAGGGGCCCGGGTTCAATTCCCGGCGAGGCAGTGACAGCAGCAATAATTTTTCTTCATTAATTTGAGGTTACCTGTGGTGGGTAAACTTAATTCAACAATTAACTCACTGAGGCATTGAATTAACGCTACAAAAATTCAAAAAGTATCTCAAAGGAATAAAAAGTTAGTTAATGGTAAATACAACGCCAAATATTGTAACAATATTTATTTAATGGCACTTAAACAAACTATATGTACAAATTCACTTTGTTAAGATAAATGTAAAAAGAGTATTCACACAGTAATTAATTTTGTCGTGAGATGTTAATATAAATGTCAAGTCTACGATAAACCTATAACACAGGCGCGCATGCGCGTTCGACTATTAATAAACATTCATTATACTTAATTTATATAGCATTAACGAAGACTTTTTTATACATAAAATTAAATTATTCGTAGCTAGAGTCTTATAAATATAAAAAAGTTATATTCATATTTATTGTAAAAATCAATAGAACACAGTTAATAAGTTACTATTTAAAAGGTATTTGGTATATAGGTGCTGCTTTATTACAGTATCATTGTTATTGCATTTTTCAACGTTTTGTTTGTTTTTCGAGGGGTTACAGAAATAATAATTAAAGTAAGAAAATGTTTATGAATCACTTGTCTACATAGATCAGGAAAAAATACCAGGATGATGTCATTCCAAAGTCTGAATCTTGGGCAGAATTGTCTTTATACCTCAAAGTTTAGGGATATTCTAACCTTAAAACCCAGAAATCACAAGTTATCGCCAGTGAAGTCTAATTATTATACTGCACACTCCTAATTTACAATGTGCCCCCTAGATGGATACTGATAAAACAGTAGTGCGCATGCTTGTTAGGTACCTGCGGTTAGAGTGTAAACAATGCTCTTAACAAATGAATCCAAAATGGCCGTCATTTTAGATCCATCCGAAGCGCTGTCAAAATGCTGAATGTGAACATTGGCATATCATCGTCTATACCTCCGTCTAAATCGTTTTTAAATTTAAAGGAAGCTAAACCTAAAGTTAAACATGGTCAAAACAATCTATTTGCGTGACAGTATTGAGATTGTTTAACTTTAAAACTTTAAATTATTAGTTTAGCATGTAACCAAGTTGAAGTACGATCACAGAATATTCGATATCCTTTATTTGATGGATTCAAAATGACGCCCTTTTCTAGAGTCTTAGTTATGCTTATATCAACAATTGCTGAGCATGCGTACTACTGTTAAGTTGGTGTTGGTGTGTTGCACCAAAGTTAATGTTGAATACTTTTAAAATTCTTAAGGGCGAAAGAAAAGTATAAAACGACCGTCAAAACGGTAATTTTTGGTCTTGGAATTGCCCCAGCAAACCTAGGTCTTGAAATATCTTACACAAACTAAAAAATGATGATGATATTAATTTGGTTTCTTTGGTGTTGAGATTGGAACAACCATATCCAAATTTCAATGTGCTAGAAGAAAATTAACCCACTTCTATGTTTTTCTTTTTAACTCACACTATTACTTTTTTTCGATATTTTTGGGTTTCGTTGTTGTGATGTCTAGAAATCCTTATTGAATTTGGACCAAATATCGCAAATCACTGCTGAAATGACAGCCCATCCTGTCTGTTTTTCTTTCAACCCCCAATTTTGCAGACCTGTGATATCATTTGTTTCGTTGCCATTTTTAGTACCTTGAAACGTTTTCTTTATATATCTCCACATTTCCGGAAATGTTAAAATTTCAATTACAAACAATCAAAACCAATAACGTAATAGATCATGAAAATGTCACTTGTTACAAAAATTCTTTTTTTCATATAGAAAAAAAAAGTGAGTTCTGTTTTGTTTGAGCAATTAGAATTTTAATAAAGAACTTAGCATAACATTATTAATAAAATATATAAACTTACATAAAATACAAAATACGTACAAATTACATACACGCGATTAAAAACCAGTCTCCATTATCGATGTTATGGAATTATATACATATAATAGGCACACTTGAGTATAAATTACTGTAAACATTATCATTTAGGTAATTGGCCATTATTATTAGAAGGGTATTTCGTTTTTATACATAAAGTGAAATTGCATATTAATCCCAGTAGAATAGGTACGCTTTTCATTTAATTATTTAATTTGATTTTAAATATTTACTGAACGTTTTAATAACCCAAAATAAAAAATAATGATGTACAAGATGTTGCTAACAATTTTTCTTTTTTTCAAACTGTTTTTCTTTCAATTTTAATGTAAAATAAATGTAAAAAGACATGGGAGAAATAACTTATTGTAAATAAGTAATAAATTTTGTGGTATCAAGAAAGCTATGAATCAATACATACATTTCGGTTCAGATTATATTTTTGGGTCATTATTAGGCACATAAAATTTTGAGAGTTTCTTCCAATCCTTTTCACATATTTAAAAAATACTTTGTATTGTCTACACACAATAGATATTTATTTATGATGATAAAAAGCAGCTGTAAGTATAGAATGTATTTTGTTTGCTTATAAGAGGTACGTACGTATATGTATGTCTGTTTTATTAGTCAATAAAAATTTAAACGTAACCTCATACTCATAGATGGCGTTACGACAAATGTAGAGGAGCAGCCAGGATCTTCTTACTTCGTTATTCGTTACAAAGCCGATGTGTTTTCTCTGGAAAAGAAATGTTAAAATTAACTTTATTCTTTGATATAAAAGCAACATAGTGACTGTTTTCGTTAACAGCCTTTATTTTAGGTACTATATGAACATATAATTATTGAGCGTGGACATTCTACACTCATTCTGGACTAAGCATGTGTCTATTTTTCAAAAAATCGTAAGAACAAAAGCGCATTATTATGAAATGATTTTGTCATCTTCTTCAGCTTGTGTGGCAATTATTATACGAATGATATCAAAATACTTTCCTGATAAACAGTAAATGTCATTTCTTACTTGTGAGGTTATGTTTCAGTTTCTCATCTCTAAGAAATCGTACATTCGGGCAGGGATGCATTAAAAATCGTAAATGGGCCCCCCATAATGAAAGTACGGTATCCCTCCCGGTAATTTGCCGCCCTCGGCTATACTGGGATGGCAAATCATACCTGGGATGGAATATCGTGCCTTCTTCCCTTGTTGCATAATGCACTACTGTATCCAAATTATTTTTTATTATTTCGTTATCATCCAGTTGAAATAAAAAGAACTTTTTTGGCAAGTCATTCCCGAAACACACACTGTACTGTCTGAAGGGGCAAAGGTGAAACAAATAATCAGTCAGAAGCAAGTTACAATCGCAAAATTCTTAAATAAAAATTAAAATGTTTTGTCAATGACATTTTATTTTTGATTATGTTACAATTACTTCTCTGTTTCGACCTCTGACTTTTTAATAAGTAATCAATTATGTATCTACACATTGTATAATAACAAAATCGTCTGCTTGGTCCGTATTATCAGCGTGAAAGGCAAATAATAATTAGCTTTTTATCGTGTCCTCTTCGAAAAAATTTCATCAGAATATTTTTTAAATCGAGAAACACAACAGTTTATTAATTTGTATTTGTAATTAATTATCATTAGAAGTTTTGTTTTAGGGATTAGATATTCGTTAGTGTCATTGAAACTATTGAGTCGTTGGCATTTTTTATAAACACAATATTCTCATTTTATAATCATTTACAAAAACGGTATCCAAAATATTTAATTATATTACCTATAACATCCCTCCATTAATCAATTGATCAGTGACATTGACATTCTCAGTTCTACGATGAACATGAAAACACCTATAAGTTCATTTTGAAGGCGAATGGTGACAAACAAACTATATTTTTACGCTATTCATTCGACAAATATTCATTATAAATTTTGGTCAAGGCATTTTCCATAGGTCAATGTGTCAGTGTCGTAGGTTAGTGTAGAATAGCATTATTATTGACCAATACGTGTATTTTTACAAGAGTATTTTCCTATTTTTGGTTTGGATAGACATTCGGGTTTTGTACTATGGCCGGTGCGTAGTCCAAAGAATTTAGCGTATTTCATTTGCAGCGATCACGCACGGTTCGGCAAATAAATCATTCGTCCTGCACGGGTGATTGATACACGTGCTGTTTCATACAGCTCCATAGAGTAATCGCTCCAAAAACTATTTCATCGATTTTCGGTCATTCTACATAATAGAATTAGATATTAAAAGGTGGGAGAGACAGTTTTTTATGATTTCATAAATAAAAAAGAAGGTAAATGTCTATATGATGGCCCCCATCCCCGAAGGGGTGGGGGTGGGTGGGTGAGACCGCCACGAACTTTTTATGGCACAGTGGTGGAGGAGACCCCCTCTTTCCATCCCCTCATCCTCACCCCCTTCGGGGAAATGTATAAAATTAATGTTTTCTGTGACTGAAATACTGTAACATATCAGCCCGCCTCAGGGGTGCCAGGGGCAATAAAGAAACTCCAATCTGTCATAAATCTACCTAGCCAAACATGACGTCACCAATGCAGATAGTTATCCATAATTGGGACAGTTTTGAAGAATTATCGGTAAAGGTCTAGGTGATAGCCAAAGGGATCAAAAGAGGAGGTCTCCCCCACCACTGTACCATAAAAAGTTCGTGGCGGTCTCACCTCCNCCCTATGATGTATGCTGTCTCCCCCTCCTCAGATATAATAATTCAACCCTCAGAAATGATCAGAAATCGGTGAAAAAAATTTTGGAGCCCTAATTCTAGGAATTGTATGAAATTCCAGTATTGTACTAGGAAATATATAAAACTAATGCGTTCTGTGAATGAAATACTAACATGTCAGTCGTCAGGGGCGTTAAATAAACTCCAATCTGTCATAAATCTACCTATTCAGAATTGGGCCAATTTTAAAAAACTATCATTAATTTATCAAGTCATAGAACACTGTCTCCTCCACCTTCCAATACCTAATTCTATTATATAGAATGACGGGCATTCGGTGAAAAAATTTTTGGAGCAATTTGGGTCTGGAGCCCCAATTCTGGACAATTACCCTAAATCTATTTAATTTCGTTGTATGAGGTTGTAAGAAACAGCGCGTGTATCAAACACCACTGCAGGATATTAATGATTTGAAGGACCGAGTATGATCGCTGCAAATGAAATACGCCAAATGTCGCACGTTTTTGCACGACTCAGAAATAATTGTTATCGCAATGGGCGTCTAATAGTAATCAGTTGATATTTACTTTATTAGTCGTTCTACAACCGTCACTATTATTTTTAATGGATGAAGTTGCCTAGTTGTTACCGCATTTTCTCTATACGTTGCCAATTTCCATCCTTGCTGCTTTAGTCATCATGCGATTCCCTATTGCATTTAGTTACACCCTGTATATGTATATATTCTTGATCACCATGGCGAATAGTACAATATTTCAAGTAAATCGAAGAGGTGTACGCTAATCTCCGCCATTACCTTTATTTTAACAATTTAAGTAAAAAAAATGAAACGTAAACATTCCTTACAAAATTTTTTTAATTAAAATTGTAAAATATTATGCAAGACATACTTTTAACCTTTCACATGCTCGTAATTTTTTGTTTCGTTATTTGATTAGTGCAATTGTTTATAATTTAAGATGTGAATTGCATCCTTAATTTGGCTCATTAAATGAAGAAATATCAGTCGTTAAATACTTAATTATATTCTGAAAGGTGGCAAAGTGCATCTCCTGTCTGCATTATTTTAATGAACAACACATTGACTAATTACTGCTTCAGCAGATATATTTCATTTTTTATCATGCTTCTAATTAACCTTTTGAACACCTGATTATGATTGATACACTAAAATAAACTGTGAAATAAACAACTGCGTGCCTAGCATTCCAATAAACTTTTGATGGAATATTATAATTCAGTATATTTCGTAAATGATATAGGTTTCTATACCTTCCCTCATCTTTACGACAGTTTTCGTATTTTTTCCGCCCCCTTCACAAAATAAACTAAACTCGAGTTCGAAATTATAAAACCGTACTTAAACTGAAGTTTTGAAGAATTCTACATGAGTGTTTACAAAATATTCAGGACTCTGTTTGTATCGCGTTAAAAGAGCGGATATTGTCGACATTTCGTCCTGAATTATACTGGAAAGTTTTTTAGACCAGAAGAATCGGAAAGATGTCCCATGAAGTTGACCACTAAACGTCAATGACAGCCAATCTGTCGCGGTACAAACTCAGATTCCAGGTTTTTACCATGTCTAAACTGTTTGAAAAAAAAAGTGCGTCCTATCAGCCCATTGCTTTAGTACAGGAAAGTAAATCGATGACCTAATGTTTTTTAAATTAGAGGAATTGTTTGCTTAATTACAGTTTCTTTTATTTACGATTACTTACTTTATCGTTAGAAAGGTCTACTTTAGAAAGTTTTAATCAAGCTCCTGGATGTAGTAGAGGATATAAAGCAGAGGATAGCGCGGGCTCGAGTAGCCTTCAATAAAAAGAAGTCATTTCTATGCTCACGAACGGTTAATTTAGAAATTCGAAAAATACTGTTATAGGTGTATGTTTGGAGGGGGGCGGAAAAGAATAGGTTAAAAGAGTTCGAAATGTTGTGTTACAGGCGAATGATGAGGATACCGTGGATAGAGAAGGTTAGAAATGAAGAGGTATTAGAAAGAATAGGAGAACAGAGACCTCTGTGGAAATCAATAGGAAATAGGCGAGATAGGTTAGTAGGACACCTTCTCAGGCATGAAGGTCTAGTCAGAGACATATTAGAGGCAGAAACGGGAGTTACGACGGGTACAGGCAGACCTAGAATAGATTACTGTTCGCAAATAGTTAAGGATGTGGGTTGTTCTAGTTTAAGGGAAATGCAAACATTACCTCGAGATTGGAAAGAGTGGAGGTGCGTGTCCAACCAGTCTTAGGACTTACGATCTTATGATCATTATGGGCGTAGCGAGACATTGTTCCTAGGGGGGCAGATTTTCAATAGGTGTAAGTTTTTGTATAGGTTTAATGTGTTTGGTTTCAGTTTTTTTTAAACTTTGGGCCAATATCGTGACTCGCCAATGCTTTTTTTAGTGGAACAATAAGCTTGGTTTGGGGGGGGGGTGAAGAGGGCAGTGTCCCCTTGCCCCTAGTTATCTACGCCTACGATGAAACTAATAATTTGAAAAGTTTCTTGCTACCTACAAAACAAACTGTTATATGAAACCGAAAATTAGTCAAGATGTATAGAGCACCCATCCGACACATCATAATCTGCTCATAACTGACTTTTTTAATTGTATGTGCTTATTTGAACGCTATTAAAAAAAAGTCTCTCTGTGCGAACTAAACCGATTACGATAGGACTCATCAAACATGAGGAGAAGTTATCAAGTTTGTATCTTTTATCACACAATTGTCTTATCAGACTGTTCCGTCTTCAGAACTATACACTAATACTTGAAAGTGTGACATTTACATCAACATTACTTTTATAAAGTAATGAATTTCAATTAAGTATTTGATATCGTTTTCATCAAAATTCTCTTAATATTAACATAATCCCGACTGCCACGGTAAAAATTATAAAGACAATTACATTAAAGGCAGTATAATTCTTGCAATTTAGTTGAAATGTTAATTCGTATCTAATTTCTTAGAACGATAGGAAGAAAATGGAATTAAATGTTTTTACATTATACACTTAGAGAGGGGCCCCTCACGATAGAATCGAGGCGACTTCAATAATTCTAGGTAAATAATTTATTGAAGAATTCGTGGCATCTTCGTTAAAGCATTAAAAATAAATTTATTATGATACCAAAGTGACCTTCCAAAAACCAGTTTCTAATAGCCTTACTGTGTCATACATGTTCTGATATAGACACTTGTTGAGTCCCGTTTGGAAAATTTACATATCATTTTATATTCTTACAAAATAGGAATACACGAGTGGATTTTAATTTCGTTATAAAAAATGTGTTGTAAGTACCGTAGAATCTCGATAAGATAAAGACCAAGGGAAACGTAAAATAATTTGAGGTTTTTAAGGGTTTAAGTTTAAGTTTTAAAAATTATGGATTTCCAGTGACTTAGCATACTATTCACCTTTTTCCTTTCGTATAGGTCCACTAACAGTAATGTTTTTATTTTTTCTACACTGTCTAAACCATATAAATAAGCATTTTTCTAAATAAGGAAATTCAGCAATTCTTCGTCTTTTACATAGAAGACTTTCTCCCGATTTAAACCACTTTTCACTGCTTACTGAGGTGCGATGCCCAAATTATTCGTTTAAGTTAGAAAGGGTTTTTATTTTAAGTAATAGAGGTTTTGGACTCCGAGGGAAGGGAACACAAAATTTTATGATTTATAGTGGTTATTACGTTATGGAGGTTTGAGTTATCAATGGATACCAATGGATCTCAAGAAGTAAAAAAAGATCAATTAGGGATATTGATTACTCTACCGAAGGGCATAGCCTAAAGGTTACATTTTACAGCATTTGAGAGAACACCGTTCAATTCTGAGTCCGTCTGTCCTGGTCTAAGTATTTATGTAGTTTCTTTGGATAACATGGGCAAATACTGGGACAGTAATAAAATTCCATATTTAACCTTACTGTCGTCATTTTGTTCGTCTCAACTGTCTCTCCCCAATCACCTCCACCCACCCACTCACCATTGCCAAGATTCCTATTATTGAATCAATATCATACAATCACTCCTTCAATTAGTGTCATATTGGGAACCGTCAAATAAGACCTGTAACTCGAATGAGGGACTTTAAAAGAGACTAGTGCAGACAGATCGTAAAGTTGTTTATTAACATTATAGACCATGTTAAATAAATGGAAAAGTTTTTGGTTACAGAGTCCATCCACTCTCTTCATCTGAAATCGAATAAAAAGTTGGTAAAAGACTGTACTAACACTTCTAACAAAGACCTTGAACTTTGTTTTCATTACTTCCTGAGAAAAGATCTATAAATTAATAAATAGAAACTTATATGGAAGTAATAGTTATCCAAGAAGTGAATCTCGGAATGAAAATTTGTTCACGTCCATTGTCTATTTTGAGGTTAGGAACGTAGTTATTGCAATAATAAATTTGCGATATATTTCTAAACCGTCTTTGCTTCATTAATATACATAAGACTATTGCTCGTTGCAGTAACCTCCCCATTTGACTCATGTTAATCATTTCTTAAATCT